CTCCATGGTGGCCGTTCCGAAGCGAGTTGCCCGCACGGCGCGGAGGCAGTTATCGGCGTTGCAGCCATTCTGACGGCCGGCAAGGTTGGCAACCTCGGGCAGGGCCGCAGCCGCGGCGGCGAAAGCAGCAACAATGTAGCACTTCATCTTGGAAAGAGTGGGTGAGTGTAGTGTTGTAGTGACTGTGAAACTCGTGGTCGAAAACGACAAGAGACCTGTGAGCAAGTGAATGAATGAAGAATGAAGATGTTACTCTGTGTGCCTTGTTATCTCTTCATCTTTTCAAAAAATGGAGACCAACACATCTATCTTATATTTCTCCAATCGTTCCTGGCTCAAGCTCCCTCACCGCGTGGTATGCCAACCTTAGGGAAGATAGGACACACTATGCAAGGGGAAGACGGGTCTAGTAGCGCCTCGGCAACCATCGAGAAAAGCAAACGGCTCTCAAACCTCGACGTCTTAGGGTTGATAACATGCGTGTCGCCGTCATTAATCCCGTGTCCAAACAAGCTTAGATAGTTTAGCAGCAAACGAGACATTGAAAGAAGCATCTGAGTGCCCCCTTTCATTAGTGGGATAAGAAAAAGTGGGAATACGTCTTGTCCCTCCTCCGGAGCTTAGGACGGCACGCTGCATAACTGACGGGGAAGAATTCGACTCCGAGCCGGAATGGGCGCCGGGCGTTATGTTTGCTGTAGTGAATGGTCCGAGGGCGTGGAAACGTGCAGCTAGGTAACTTACATGAGAGCCTCACCGCTGAGGTCCTGAGCTCTTCCGCGGTCACCCCTGGCTTGCCTGGCTCATTCCCGAAGTAGTGCTGTTAAGTTGAATGTTTAGAGGCTCATGTTTGCCAAGGACCTGCAGTAGCGCGGCGCATCGATGTCGACGGCGCCGTCGAAAGCCCACCGAAGCCTCCCGCTAACGCCCATTTTGGGCATTTTTCATAGCCCGCGGCTTTCAGGTACACTTGGCCGTGCGTTTTATGTTGAAGAGGACGGAATCACCAAAATCGTCCGTGGGCGATAAGCTCACCTCAATCATGTTCCCGCGCAACCATGGACGAGAACTCACACCGCTGTCTAGGATTAAGCTACCGGAGCCTCCAGTTCTGGGTTATGCAACTTTGAGTATAGTCTGTCGGTTTGCATTTGACTTGTGCCCCTTCTCCCTAGTATCTCTAGATCAGTAGATTGACGTCACTCCCAAGAACCCAATGTTCCATGACAGACAGAAACATTGTTTCTGACTTTGATCGAACTCCCTTAGCTTCTCTGTCGGCACTACTTCGCATCGCGGGCCTACCTGCGACTCGGTGACTTGGCACTTTGTCTACCCCGGTATTACGGTTATTCTAGGAACCATTAAGCTCGCGGATCTCAAGAGCACCCAAGCACTAATGTACCCCTGCTGGGACGTGGCCAATACGCAAGTACCGATATGATCGGCAAGAAACCCCTGCTTACCTTAATTGACGACCAGCATCAACCAGCGAAACCCCGACCGATATGCAACCCTTCAATATAACATCACAAACCAGACAAACACGGAAAAGGCCGCTCATGACGCGGGAACAGACGTTCGTATCGAGCGCGACTGCGGCAACGGGACAGCACGGTCCAGAACAACCAGGACAATGCCAGCTGGAGGCCCCCAACATCTCCCGCTTAGCGCGACAGTGGCTGATCTAAATCTGAGCGAAGCCTACCGACATGGCGAGAGACGGTGACCATGAGCCGTTGTGGCTGCCCTTAGTGTCGTTAACTAGTACCTTGAAAGGTTAATCACGAAGATTTTCCTTGGCATTTGGAAGCAAAGTAGTGAAGTTGAGAGTTCCGTGTGCCATGCGGCGGCGCGCTCGTTCAGTGTCGGTTAGAAGCTCTTGCGTCGCGGCCGGGAACGATGGCATTGATGCAAACTTCTGCTTTGTGGGAAAGATCAGAATCGTCTTGGCAACCGAAATCTATCGTAATGCTGAGTGACTATGTAGGATTGTGGTCTGCAGCGAAACCGGCACTTTTGGACGAGTGCCCTTTGTTTCTTGTAATCAATATGAAGAGGGTAGGATTAACTTGGTCATGGGTGGTTTTCAAACAGGCAAAGGATGAAATTCTGATTTCATCTACAATCTCAAACTAAGTACTCACTCGAGACTAAGGATCAATCAACGTAAGAAGTTCCATATTGGAGTAATTCTCAATTTAACCCTAGATCAGCCACGTGCAGACCCAAGCTGTTTTCTGTGCTTGACCCAGCCAGAGACTGAGAGGCATTGCGGTAGGAAAACGCATCCGCATGAGCCCGGGCAGGTGAGAAGGGCCACGGTAGCTTAGCAGCAACCTTTCGGACTTCGAAAATCAGACCAACAGGAGAATGTGACTTGGCGGCATCTATCCACGCCGCTTTTGTTGCTTCTTCGATCTCGAAGTCCCATGTACTCTCCCATGTGAAAGTTGGGGTATCACCTTTCTCAATGGAGTAACGGAAACAGCCTGCCGAAATAATATATTGCTCCCGCGCGTTCCAGAGCTCCATCACTCTCAACTTTGGCATCCGTCGGGCAGCTCTCGCGGCTGACAACAGGAGCTTGTTTGTCATTTCGGGTGCCTTGTCCCAAATAGAATGAGACGTCAGACTGATGACCTGTAGTTCAGGCCAATCAGGGCCAGCGACGCTGTCCTGAAGGGATGGGACTTCGTTCTTGGGCTGGTCCATCATGTGCGAAAAGAAGTCAGTAGCGTCGATGGCAAACGAGACACATAGGTTCTCCAGCCCGCGGCTCTGACGATACAGTTGCTCGGGGATGCCCTGATGCGTGCGAATGTATTCGATCCAATCATGTTGCGTGTTCAAGTTGCTCTGGTCGCAGGATTCTCGGATAGTGAGCGACTTCAGTTCGACCGGCGCAATCTGCCAGTCCGTGACTAGGCAAAGCTTGTGCTTATATCCAGGTCGGCAACCGATTTCGTAGTTGTAGTCCAATGTGTCCAGACCAGGCGCAAGTCCAGTCAAAATAAGGTCGGCAAGCTCGGGCCCAGTACTGCGGGAAATGTAAGATTGTGGTTTCACGATGCGGAGCGACCGCACGCAACCGATTGACCACTTTCGCTGCCGCAAAAGCTCTCCTCCGTACGTGAGCAGTGGGGGACCGCAGGGCCGGACTTCGATGATTTCCAGGCCGATCTTGGCATCTTCCGTCCTCCAGGTCTGCAACAAGTCGAACAAGGAGACTACAACCTCCGCAAACGCCCTCCTGTAGCTTTTGGACGTGTTGGTGGCATCATAGTCGATACGAACACGGAGTCGTTTGAGGACTTTCTGGCGGGTCTTGGTTAGGATATCGCGGGCCTGGAGAACTGTCCGTCGGCTAGCGGTGGACTTTTGGGAATGAAGTGAGATGTATATCTCTCCAAAGACGAAGGGTTCAATGATTTTCTGCCATTCGGAAGAGATGGAAGCGTACGGGGCTAATCGATGGTTCTCTTCCCGGCCGCATTTGAGGAGATGGCCCCAAATTTGGTTCTTAAGCTCATTAGGTAGATCATGCCACCAAGCCATCGTAACGAGACACCTTTGTGGGCGATAAATTCGGTGCTACGTGGATCAGTGGGAGCCGCTGCCGGGTCTGCAGACGTGTAAAGAAAGAGGGGATGGCATCATGGGAAGCGGAGCGCGACAAACGATAAGTTTCGAGCTGTTCCAACACGGCCACTTTGCTACCGAGGGTCAAAGCTCAACCGCTCTCGGGTACCTGCAGTGTGTGTACCAACAAAGTGGTTGAGTAATCAACCTTACTTAACAAAATCCTGCTGATGCTCAACTACCACGGTAGGGCAGACTTGTATACATCCACTTTCTTTGTGTTGTGATGATGAATGTGATGTCCTGATGCCGAAGTGGAGTCTATTGGTGAACGGCTGTTCAAAAGATAAGGCAAATCTTATACCCGATGATTGGGAAGGTTACATGCAGTCATTTCCATCAAGTTCATGTGCCTTATGCATGTAATCCGAACAGTTTTTGGTTGAGCCTTTCTACCAAAAAAAGTCGCGATGAACTTGTCATCCGGCTCACATCTCATAGACACTCGATGAAAGGCACCCAATCCCAGGGAAGTAAGATCTGGATGCATGCGGATCCCCTGCTAGTCTTTGACACGATTTCTCGGATGCGAATACCTATCAGCTTGCTTGAGAGGCCAACGAAAGTCACAAGCCACTTCAGTCCCTACCTCCCTCATTGCTCATGGCTGGCTATTACCCGGTCTCTGTCTTCACTGCGCATAGCCAAAGTCAACGGCTAGGTATGGGTGCTGAGGTGGCTACATCAAGGACCTTGTTCAGTGATGGTCACCAAAGGTCTGGATTAATACCAAAGATGCGGTCGCTATCCAGTAGAGCGTTGATGAAAGCTACACGTTGCACGCAGAACCAGGTCGTCCATGGTGATGCAACGTTAAGTGGGCATCACCAGCACCAATTTTCCTTCATTCTCGCTTTCGCGGGAAGCTTGAAAGCGCCCAGGAAGTTATTCGGCTTTCGGATTCATGCGAGAGCAAGGGGGGTGGGGGGTTTACGGGTCGTTTACTGTCTGGTGCAAAGAATATGTTCGGAGCTTCAGACTTGGGATCCTGACACACAGAAGTCCCAATGCAAGCTCAGGAAAAGTTGATATAAAACTATAATGCCCGTATGGGATTGCTTTATGATTTGATGTCATCTCCTCACTCATTTACATAGATTATTCGACACAGAACCTGATCTGCTGGGTAGATCATCGTACTCTCACTTCTCATTCCTGACTGCGATTACCTCTCGTATTCGCGGAGATTTTCTGGTTTATTTGCTTCGGGTTGAGATATCAAGTCGAGGTCCATCTCTTGATTCGTGTTAACTCTGTTGGTAAGCCTCACTCCTGACGACACTTGGCTCATATCTATCGTCAAGAAGTCCAGCTCATGACCTCCGTTCTAGAAAAGAGAGTATCTTCAATCACACATCATGGCTGATCATGATGAAAGTTCACAAATATGGACCATCGAAGAAGGTCAAGAATACTTAGACGACTTGATAAGACTTCTCCGTAATCCAAAAGTTAGCGTTGACGAAACGGTTGATACTGGGCACATCAACGGAACTGCGATCCATATCCCTGTCCAATTCCAGAAGGGAGAATCTGTCACGAAAGCCATGGTCTGTTGTAACGATTTCATCAACAAGAAGCAGCCGGGCAGCTTGTTCATTTACGATAGTTCTCTCAGTCTACGAGCTCCCAGAGAGTCGCAAAACTCCGATGACACCCATCTCACCTGGACCTTGTGCAGGGGCCTCAGAGTGACTCCATTGTCACTGGCCTGCAGCACTCTGGTAGAAGACTTGCGATGCGTTCAAGTCAGGCAACATAATGAGCATCGGAACATCATCAGCCTTGTCTTCTATTGCGGTCGAGAACCACACCAACGCGGCGTGAGTACAGGACTGCTCATGATACGCTCTCTCTTGGCCCAGATCTTCGACTACATCCGCGCGTTTATAATTGAATACAAAGATGTCATATCGGTTGGACACGAATTCCGCGAGGAAGTTGAGACAGATGATCTCGATCAACTATGTGGAATGCTCGACATAGTGATCCGAACGCTCCCTCCAGTGAAGGATCATCAGCAGCCAGAGCGAAGGATTGTCTGTTTCATTGATGGTGTGGGTTCTCGCAGGGACGTGGAGGATTCTTCCGGAGTAATTAAGGTCATACAGACCTTAATGAAGATGGTCCGTCTGAGTGACACTGGCGATGACTACGTACCGACTTTCCAACTGATCTGTACGAGTCCTCATCTAACCGACTGGGATGATGCACTCTTCCCAAGTGAGGACACTTGCCATCTTGTTGATTTAGCACTACCACTGTTGCCGCCTGGACCGTCAACCAGGGGAGGGTTTCAAAAGTCCTGATGGGCACCAGAATCTGTGCTTCAAAGTCGAATTTGGCAAGCATGACGGGTTTCGTCTATAGAGTTACTATCTTTATATCCTAAATTTCAAGATGCGAATAGATCATCATATTTCATCGACCACGAAATCGCATCAATTAGAAGATTCTTGATTTGCTACAATTTCTTTCCAAGATGAGCTAGATATTTAAGAAGAAAGGTGCTTCATGTTTCTCATACTATCTCTTGGTTCTTTCCCAAGAAAAAAAAGTAATGACGGAAAAGCGAGTTTTGAGAACTGTTCCCAATCCAGCCTAAACATTCGAGTACCTCTCTCTGCTGACACTTCACCATCGACAGCCCCATGAATTCGTTGCCCGCTTTACATCGAATGTGCATCAAGACTCTCCATCCGTGTGCTGTTCTTCAACTTCTGCCAAAAGAATTGATTAAGGGTACTTTCATAATTCAATCCAAACTGATCTCTAATTTATAAGAGAATACGTTAGTATTTGAAAGCGAAACAAATAAGAGGCCTTTGCTGAGGCAATTCTTGCTACGTGAGCATCATTCAGGTAGCTACACCAATGTGCAGTCAGGTGAAGTGCATCCATCTCAAGCCAATGTCTCTGTTGCTGAGGCGCTGCACCTTCCATGCTGCCAATAGTTCGATTAGTTGATTGCAACCTCTAGCGTTACTACGAATAGTGGTGAGAAGTGGGAGATGGCAGCACTAGCCCGTTCGCCTACAGGCGGGTTGCAAGGCAGGTAGTCGATGCAGTAATTGAATAATTACTAGACAGAGAGGGGTGGGATGGTATCACAAGCTCCAGACTGTTCATCACAGTCACTGACCCACGGTTACACATCCAAAGCTCAGCCACTCATTGGTACTGGCATGGTGATTTGGTCATTAACCCCTCTGAACAAGAAAGTTGCGGATGAACTATTCCGGCAACGCAGACTTGAACCTTCCCCTCCCCCACAATTTCCGTAATCTTTAAGTTGAGCACTCAAACATACGGTGCGGTCTGGGCTGTTCAAACTACAAAGAGAAACGTGATCTTGGTGTTTGGTGGTTGATCGTCAGGGGAGCTAGATACAATCTCTCCAGTTCTGTCGACCCAACTACAGTAGGGTGCCAAAAGTTCGTGTACACCCTCCCAGTGTGTCACCTATAGCCCACTAACTACGTCTCTTTATTATTATAAATATCTTCTTAAATTAAATATAAATAATATAATTTAAAGTTTTATAAAATACTTAAGTATATAAACTATATAAAACTATTTTTTATATATTTTAAAATATATTATATTAGTATTTTATAATAAAATATAAAAATAGAATATAAAATAAAAAAGAATTTATTAAGAAGTATAGTACTATTCGTATTTTAAAGGCCCTATAATTTATTATAATAAAAATCTTATAGAACTTATTTTCTAAAAGATTTATTAAATACCTTTATAATTAAGTAAAATATAATATAATTTATATATATATTAATATAATAGCTAATTAGTTATAAAATAATTTCTAATTTCTTTTTCTTATTATATTTAAGTTTTTATTTACTATTAAAAAGTAGTACTTTTGCGGGATACTATGCGCTGCACACGAACTTTCGACACCCCACTGTACGTGTATCGTGGACGTACTGAAATAAACATCTGCCGATCCACCTTTTCAAGAGCACAGGCAAAAGTTTCATGACGGTTTGTCTCCAACTCACCGCCTCCAAACATTATAGACAAACAGAACAAAAACCATGAGGCCTTATCTTTTCCTTACCACCTCCAAACACACCATGCTAAGAGGCGCTAATGACAAAGGTGGTATTGCAGCTTGAATAATCTCATACCCGATCTCTGTTTACAAGGCTCCATTTGGGCTGCAGCACAGCAAGCGTGATTATTCCCTTCTAACCGCCAGGCTTCAAGCCCATGGCAAACTTTTGCCCAGGATTCTACTTCACAAGGCCAAAATTACATTCAGAAAAAAAAGCAAAAAGAAAAAAAGGCCTGAGTATGACATTGAAAGGCGTACCCACGACTTTGTTCGTTCTATGTCTTGAAGTGTGGAGACTTTGCCTCCGTCTCATGGTAGGACTTTGGTAAAGAGTGTCATACAGGGAATAGTTCCTTCTAGCCAAGATCGATATCGCCGCCATGTATCACAAAATGCTTTGAATGGTGTGAATGAACGCAGTACTAGATCAGATTTAAACCCATGACATTCAAAGTACACATACCTTGGCTTTAATACAAAGAAGACATTCAGACTCTATACCTGTCATCATCTATAGCAAGTCTGAAGCACTTTGAAAAATAAGTCTGCCTCATCACGCTTGAATTTGTGAAAGTTGTTCCTTGCGGAGACTTTAGCCCTCAGCCTAGATTCAACTTTTCTACTATTCACCGTTGTATCAATCACACAAACGCTCTTTCCTAAAAACCCTTCTACAAAACGGCAACTAGCGTGCCACGATTTCAAGTAGCAATATTGGATTTATTGGTAATCTCAACTTTCTCAACAAGGTGTGTGATGGCCCCTATACCTTGTGTCATACTGTTAACCTAACCCAATCTATAGGAGAAAGTATCTTGAGGTTGCTCATCATGTCCACCGAGTCGGAATACTTCAGATCATTGCAAATCTTGCTCGCCCCTGATCTTGGTTACACAGAGACATGCTACATTGCCTTGAAGGAACGATACAACCAAGAACGTGTATTCGTTGAGCTTGGTTTGGGCGGTCACGAGGATGACAAAGGCTACAAAGCAGGTCGAAGGCTAGTCGACAGTATCTTCAACCAATGTCAATATGAAAACTGGCTTGTTGGGGGTTCGGGGGCCAATCGTTTTCTCTATGATAAGTCGCTTAAATTTATGAACGGTCCCCGAACCCATCTCTCTGGCTACACTTTGAACTCCTTATATGGTGTCCATGTGTACGACCTCGAGCTGAACGTCTCGATGGACGACTATGTTGTCACCCCCTTTTCGATACTCTGCGCTGAGTTGGTCGGCGACGTTCGAAGCAAGCATAATATCGGCCTTATCTTCTTCTGTGGCCTACATGTGGAAAAAGACGGGCCCCTTAGGGGAAGCACTATAATTCGGGCCCTCCTGCACCAGATATTCCAGAAAAACTTGAACTACTTCACCGCGAACGATGTCAAGTACATGTATACCGACTTTAAGGCAATGCTGGAATCACCGGAAGTTGGATCCCTCGCATTATGTGAGATGTTTTTGAGTGTAGTCCGACTAGCAGAACCTCGGCTCAACGAGCGCGACAAAAAGATGATCTGCATCATCGACGGTCTCGGTACCCGCAACAGCCATACGTACTCTGAAGATGTGATGGGGGTTGTGCTGGCCTTGGCTAACATCAACAAAATCGCGCCCTTCTTTAAATTGATTTGTACAGGTCCTGCCGTACCGAAAGTTTTCACTGAAACATCTTCCTCTCAACCTTTTGACGGGCTTTTTTTATGGTACGATTTCCCTTTGAAATAATCTTTATTAAGGGTCCTGCTTTACATAGACGATATCATTCGGCATATAATTATTAGTGGCGAAAAGAAATTAAGTCTAGAGATAAGATCTTGTGTGGTTTACATGACTAGATAGATCTTCAGTTAATATACCTTACTATATACTAGAAAGTTTTCAAACGGAGCAGTAGCTGCTTTATATTTTCAACGTAGAGCGAAGGACTGGGATGTTTGGCGCTCTTCTGACTTTAATTGAAAATGATGTGGGTTCGCTTTTAATAAGATGAATACCTATGTGCTAATAGTGACATCAAGGCAACAAAGAGTGTTAAGGCTTTGAAACTTTGTAGGAAAGTCATTTAATTGTACATTAACCGCAGGTTTAGTAAGATGTTACTTAGGTCTGGCCCTAGGACAATGAGAGCCACGGTAAGACAAGGTGCTTTGAATGTTACTTACAGTAGGGTGTCAAAAGTTCGTGTACACCCTCCCAGTGTGTCACCTATAGCCTACTAACTACATCTCTTTATTACTATAAATATTTTTCTAACTTAGGTATAAATAATATAATTTAAAATTTTAATAAAATATTTAAATATATAAAGTATATAAAACTATTTTTTATATATTTTAAAATATATTATATTAATACTTTATAATATAATATAAAAATAAAGTATAAAATAAAAGGTTTTTTATTAAGAAATATAGTACTATTTATATTTAAAAGGCCTTATAATTTACTATAATAAAAATCTCTTATAACCTATATTATAAAAAATTTATTTAACGCTTTTATAATTAAAAAAACTATAGTATAACTTAGATATATATTAATATAATAACTAATTAGTTATATAGTAATTTTGATTTCTTTTTTTTATTATATTTAACTTTTTATCCGCTATTAAAAAGTAGTCCTTTTACGGGATACTGTGCGCTATATACGAACTTTTAATACCCCACTGTATTTAGAATTTAAATGGATTGAGTGTCTAAGCATATTGCGCGTGATATGTACCTTACTTAACGAGTGTACTATACCGCGTGATTTTTGATTATTGCGCTTAAAAAAACGAAAAAAATATGTCTTTCTTATTATAGTGATCGGTACTTGTTCTTCTCGAGCTGCGCGCCGCCCTTGTGCTTGGGATACTTCGATAAGCATAAGGAGTCTTCCGTAAAACACGTCGTACTTCGTCGTGTGTTTCTTTTGGCTGGATTGGTCAACGGATTCATCGCCTGGGTGTCCCGGCTGCTATGGCTGCAGTTGATGCACGGACGGGTGGATGGCAGTTGAGGCTTGGGGGGGACTGTGGCCCATGAGGGGCGGTAGCATCCTTGTTTCACCAGATCTTTCAGCGGGTAGGCATGCCCTGGAAAGTTTTCTGCATAGGTAAGGTACCTGTACTCTGCTGGATTCAAATTGGATAGGGATGTGACACCCGCCAATCCGCCTATTACATTGCAGGCAAAACACCAAGGCGTTGTCCATTTCTTTGGCCAGAACATACTCACCCAGATGTTTGCGCAATTCCGACCTCTCCCGCCTACAGACAACCCAATGAAATATCGACAAGTACGCACAGGAGTGGACACTCGAACATCGACTGTTCTTGTCTTTGTTGTAGCCGGCATGTGATCAAGACAATGCGAGGTTGAGCATGCTTCCTCTACCGCCAGCTCACAGTCATGCCTCAGTGTGGGCTTTGAGACCTTGGATGTCTGATGTATTTGAATTAGCAGTATCCTAAGTAGGAAGAATGGGCATGGGAGTCGGCAAGGGTCTGAGCGGTTAAGATTCAAGAACGAAGCTAGGGGCAACAAAGAAGTGCGCTGTTTCTTGACCCCAGCACGAAATGAGTATCTTTGGCACAAAGGCATGTCCATTCGACAGTCTAATCACTACTTCGGTGCTGCGATGAAGATGTTTGATGATTTCACCAAAAATACCTTTTTCGGCTTTCCCTCAGGGGAAGCTGGCCAAAGTCCAGGAAAATACATAGAATAGGTCGTAGCTGGGGATGGGACATATGCCATACAACATAAAATGGAAAGCCCTTGAACAGAGGGACGTACCTTCAGCAGCGAACTGATGGACTCTCCTTGCAGCGCCCGTGCATACCGCAATTGCTGCATTTCAACTGCTGCAATATGCTGAACAGCCAACAGGTCACACACATCGTGACTTTGTAGGCGCTGCCATACTACAATAGCTCTCATCCGATCACGATGGTCTTGACGTCATGCGGCGACGACGGCGCCACCCTATTTTTTAATCATTTCTATTTAAACTATAAGTATTTATTTTGGCACTATGTTAAACATGATGCGATGAGGGCAGTTGAGTGTGGGTTAAGATTTTTCAGACATTTGGGCAGGGGCCTCTTTGCGAATTGCTTCCACTCCAGAGAGGTTTGCCAACGACATGCATTATCCACATTGACTTTTTTTCTCTGGCTGAACTGTCGTCCCGATAAAGACGTTTGAAGATGAAGGTTTGTATCAGATCGGATGCGTGCTTCAATTCAGCCCGTATGACAGGTCCTTTGAGTCAAAGGTAATTGGGACTTTGATGTGACTTCTGCAGTCTACCAAACCTTTCATGTCAGCTTTTGTTACACTTTAATCTCTACCGCCGGTAGCCCGCAAACCGTCTATCAGGGGTGCGAATAACTGCCATGTTTTTCACTGTTCCTGTCTTTGTTTGGGCCTAGTGAACAGCCGCGCATATGCACTCTTCTTTTTACTTGCGTGCACAAACGACAAATCCACGAGGCAACATTGACATCATCTCATGAAATGCAGATTCCTTGATATCGGCCTTTCGGACTTCGCAATCTTGATAGCCTCGGTTCTAGAAACGTGCTAGCGGTAAGCTCCTTTGTATCTATCAAAGCTGGGCCTGGTGGTCAAGAGTGAAAAAGATAGGGGTTTAGAGTAGATTGCAAAATTTCAAGACTCACGAGCGGTGATCACCTGCCCGGAGGCAGAGATCACATGGTTTCTTCATGGATAGATCTCATAAAGAAGCGTGTTCTTTTCACCAAACATGAATCATATTCAAAGGGCAGTCCACCATGACTCTTCGCAATCCGATTCGTGTACTCTTAAGGGCGTTTGAACATGAGTAGCTATAGCTTGATTGTCTTACTGCCGGTGAGAAGAAATTCGGTCGACAATCTCGTCTCATCAGAGCTACCAGGAAGCTCCAGAAGCAAAAGTCTTCACTACCTACAGCCTACCCACAGCATCAAGTGTCGATACATAGCGCCGTAAGTCACAAGCACCAAGTTCTGTATGGCAATTGTTGATAGCCTCGTGGATCCTGACTTTTGATGACTGTTCTAGGACGAGGGTATACTTCATCGCCTACCATTACTGCACCTGAACCTACTGGTCTGAAAGGAATATGGAGTACAATGCTGACGATGGTTGACGATGATGGAGATATCAAGAACATAATAAATCGCGACAAGGAAGATTTGAATTGGGTAGAAGATTACCATACGAAACCTTGAGATACCCATGAGCCACTGTATCTGAGATTTTAGGAAGCAAGATATTAAAGCATGGAAGGAGAGACAATGGCCAGGCGTATTGCACATCAATTGCGATATACTAGAAAGTATTCCGCATTCAGGGAAGCGACACGCAACATCTAGTTTACCGCCCGTTGATATTGACGATTTCTTGGCAATTGAACGTTGGTAAACACTACAAAGTAGGAAAGGAGGGTGTCACAACACCAAACATTTCTTTGTAGCCTTTGCAAGGCTCCGAGAATGATCTCCGCTACCTTGGCGAATCCAGTGGGTGGTGATGTTTCACAAAGCCCAGAAGAATGGTATCCGCCCCAAGCTCATGCTGGGAAAAACGATATTGGAACACGCGTAGATCACTCACCGTACTGCATCAAGCCATCACCGCCATAGATGCTCATGTTCAAAGCAGATGTTCACAAGATTCCAGTTGAGTAAAGACAGTGTGCACTTGTAAGCCTAGTCACTGCTGGAAAGGTAGCTCAACATCAAAAGGTCAGTCTATCTTGGGAGTTGGTATTTATAGGATGGGGGGTAGCCGATGTCGAGGAGAGATTACTATGAGTTTCAGCAGCCGATCTATCGACTTTTCTTCCTGATCAAGCCTCAACCAACGAATCTCCTCACCACCACTGAAAACATTCTCAGGGTCTCAGATCCATATCTTCGCAGCTTACCAGTCTTTTCGCCGGTGGTAGAAGGCCCGACAACCATCTTCTCATACAAGAAATGTCAGAAAGCCGAAGCCACGCGACCCAGCTGCAAGTTTATTTCAAACTCAAGTTTACCTGAAGGTGCACTGCCGCTGGTTAAATAGTGGTGAGCCACAGGAGCTTTCCTTACAATGTCTCTTGCCGTCATGGCAAACTGACATATAAGACCAGGACATTTTAGACTGCCCATAATGTCGTCTCCGGAATCCGCCTCTGAGAAAGGAGTATGGGATACTATGCAGGAACTAATTCCTCTCGACAATCATCGTGCCGACATCCGGTGGCTTCACGGCCGCGACGATCAGGATCTTCAATGGGTGGGAGACAAAGAGGTCGACTTGTACCATGCATCGCACGAGGTTCATGGACCACTTTGGCCTCAGATCCTAGCCTCACGCGAGGTAGCAGCGTGGGATCAAGTCAGAAAGTCATGCATAGTACTCATTGATTGCGATATGGACTCCAAATATCTCTGGGAAAACTTTCGTTTGAGTCAACTATCGGTATTGTGTCGTAGAATGGCCCAACACAAGCGGTTGGACTTTCTTGAAGGCAAGCCCTTCGGATCTCTGGTCTTCTTCATGGGGGGCACGGGGGACACCAAACGCAGCGAGTCGGGGATCGTTGCTCTGACTATGATGACATCCCTAATCTATCAGGTCGTTGAAAGGTACGCCAGAAAGTGCTGCCCAGATGAAGCTGGCAATGTTCTGGCCTTCGAAAGCGTCAGGAGAGACGACATCGAATATTTATGCGGCTTTTTCAGGGAATTGGTTCGTAAAGTGTCCTGGAAAGTCGAGCTTACCTGTTTTATCGACTTTATTGGTCGACATGATGCAGAACGGGGGATGGACATTGTGATAAACAACTTGATCGGTTTGGTCGAAGACCAAGCAGAGATCGAAACACAAAATCCACAACGTAAGGCATTCAAATTGGTATTCACAGGCCCAGGGCCCAGGGGCGGGCCTAGGCTGAAGATTCATGATCTCCTCTACACAAAGCGGCACATTGCTGCATCCCATTACTTGAGGCTTGGAGCGGATAAGGATCGGAGCTTCTCGATGACATGATAAAGGCACCTTCTTACGGATCTGACCTCTAGAGAGTGGAATCTCCACTTTACAAAAATAGTACTCAAGCCGATAAATAGCATTAAGCGTCTTAAATATCAAATCGGTCATTCAATATACTTAGAAATACTGATGGCCACCCTGCGCTCTTGCCTTGATGAGCAACAACCTTGAGCTGGGACATTGCCTGTATGCAATACCTCCACCCCCGATCCCCAGCTAAAGCTCAATTTCGTTCTTTTCGTTTGGTACTTGTCAATATCAACGCGCAAGTGTAATTACAAGTGAGGTAGGTTGCATCAATCATCACGGATGTCTGAGCTCCCAACTTATCAATTTCCCTTTCTCTGAATCACTTGCCCGCGGATCTGGTCTGTATAGTAGTTTCATGAATCACTGTATCGTATCCGGAATTAGCCTAGACGTTGTGTTTTGACATTTGCGATGTGGCTACATTGGATTTCAGCTTGCATCCAGCTAGCCAACTCCGTAACCTAGAGTGGCGCTTTGCATTCATGTGAAGCTGAGGAACTACTCCAGTAGGTACCTTGCTTTTCTGGTGAAACTCCAGTTGGTAATATCAGCCGAGGATAGACCAAATGTCATTTGAATCTTTGTTGGATAAGAAACAGCTGCCATGCTTGAATGTCTTTTGCCGCATTTACCTTCGGCTGTTCAAACTTCAAGGTCAATGGACGTCTGTGCGGTTCAGTATGGTGTCCACCTGCGGCACAAAGAAAAGTCTTCACCGCGTTCCGGTTAGACAGAATGATACGGATCAGCTGTTCAGGAGAATTCAGAAATGAGGGCACTCTCCCATATTCTAGGTACAATAGGACAGCCCCGGCTAACGAAACAGCACACATACAAAGAAGATGTTTGGAGCGAATAGATCACCGCCCCGGAAATCATGGTGCATTCATCGAAGCCTGGCTACGGATGTCATTTATTTCATTCCTACTTACAAGGAAGTCAATCAACTTGTCTTGGCGCTGTACTAGAGATCACCTAGTAGATATATATATTGGTCACCGGAGAGCTTTTTAGCTTCCGGCAGCTTCCATCCTCAGCAGCTCACTTTGAATCTACCTGATATTTTGCCAGTCGACTAGACCTTTGATCAAGACGTACACCTACTATTCATTTAAGGTCACGAAGTATGAAATTCTTGCCATCTATATCACTCTACCCTCTGTACTAACTACCTTACTGAGGATCAAACACAACAGAATGCTCCGAGTGTTTGACCTTCCTGATTATGTAGACCCAGATGCGGAACGAAGACGCAAACAATGGGAGGGGATGTCGCTTAACTTTTGGGCTAGGCGCTTCGATACGCGTTGTTTGGAGGATGTGGGACGCCACGTAATTGGTTCCGCGGAGGATCAAGCTAGAACGATCTCTGCAGATAAGAGGATCGTGTTCACCTACACCGGCTCCAGTACGACATCCGAAACTTCAAACCCAGTGTTGATCATCAGGAAACATTCCTGTCCCGATCCCGAGACTGCATGGACGGAAACCGCATTATCAATGGTCTGCAAGATATATGTCGAAGACAGTCGAACGCAGCTAAAGAACGAGGGTATTATTCGCGGACAACCAAGAGACCAGTTCCTTAGTCTTGTCATCTTCTGTGGCCACGAGTTCCCAAATGACGCAGAGATCGAGTTGACGATGGTTCAATCCCTCGTTGGCCAGATCTTGAGGCTATGTGGGTTCGACTTTTTTGACAATGACGCGCAGTGCACTTTCAAATTCTCGGATGAGTCCTGGCTTGACCATTATTGGGACGTTTTCAAGCGCCTGGTACGACAATTACCAAGACAGATGACCGTCATCTGTTATATCGACAACCCCGCCGAACTACCAGCCGAAATCTTCGACTCTTTCATTCTAGGAAAGCTGGTGGCTCTATACAAAGAACAAACGGAATTGGCGAAGGAGGAAGAAAAGGCGCAATTCCTAATTATCGCCACGGACCCGTCTGAATTTGGGGATTTTCGCATTTCTGAAGCGGTAGAGAAGGTGGGGTTGAAGGTGCAATCATTCTTATATTACATGGAGAGCACAGAGACCGGGGAATCACTTCGTCACTCACAAGTTAAGTCAACATACCCACTTCCTGGCACCCCCCTGTTTCTGGCACCACAAAAACGATGGGATCACAACCCAACCTCCTCATTACTATTAACTATTGATCCTCAACCACACCCACTACAATACAGCTGCCAGCCTCACTAGGGCATTCAGAGTCGCTGGATTCAGCCGTGATAACCTCCTTTTCACCCGCTTCGATTTGAGCCCGATGGATATCCCTGATGTTCGCGAACTTCGTATTGGGATCG